CTGCGTCTCTCGTTCCTTACCCTCTACCCTGCCTCTCTCCTCCCCTCCCCTCCCCTCTCCCTTGCTCTATCCTCACTTCCCCCTCCCCTGTCCCTTGCGTCTCTCCTCACTTCCCCTCTCCCCTGCTTATCTCCTCCCCTCTCCGTCGCCTCTCTCGTCCCCTCCCATCTCCCCCCTCCCCAAACATCGCACAAAACCAAGAAAGTGCCATACCACATGTCACATGATCGACCACATAGGCGCAATTACACGCATAGAGCGACCTTATTAAAGGAGGAGGAAGGAAGTGAGGAAGGGAGGGAGGGGAGGGAGGGGAGGGGAGGGGAGGGTGGGAGAGGGTAGGAGGGGGTGGAAGGAAAGGGTCTAAGCGAAAGTGGAAGTGAAGGAGGAGGAAGGAAAGGGCGAGAAGAAAAGAAGAAAGGAGAGAGGGCGGGAGATGAAGAAAGAAGGAAAGACGAGAATACAAAGAAGAGGAGGAGAAAGGGGAAGAAGAGAAGCGAATACAAAGGAGAGGAGGAAAAAAGGGGAAAAATAAGGAGAGGAAGAGAAAGGCGAAGAAGAGAAACGAATACAAAGAATAGGAAGGTGAAAGGAAAAAAAACGGAAAGCGCAGACAGAGGAGGCGATCGAGAAAGGTGGAAGAAGAGGCAGGAGGATAAAGGCAGACGCAGAGAGCGGCCTGAAGACGCCCTCGTACCCTGCCGCACCTCTTGTGAAGGACTCCGAGGATCTGTTCAACTGCACGATGGAATGATCCTGGCTAATGGGGCGGGCGGGCGGGCGGGGCGGGCGGGGCGGGCGGAGAGCGGGGGTGGCGCGGCGGAAGGGGGGCGGGCGGAGGAGGGAAAGCGGGGCGGAGGAGAGGGAGGGAGGGCGAAGGCGAAGATGGAGACGGAGAAGGAGTGTTAAGGATAGGGTTGATAAAGGAGGAAAGGAGGAGGAGGATGGGGAACAGGAGGAGGAGGAGGAGGAGGAGGAGGAGGAGGGAGGAGGAGGGGAAGGCGTATTATCGAGGGAGTTGATAAGGAGGAGGAGGACAAGGAGGAAGAAGAAGATGATGAAGATGAAGAAGAAGAAGAAAAAAAAGGGGGAAAAGGGTGAAGTGGAGGGCGAGAAGGCGAAAGGTGTTAAGAAGGCTTTTCCAGAATGTAAGGGAGACGAGGGGGGGGGGGGTAGAGAGCTGGACGAGGAGATATGAAGGAGACAATGAACCGGAGCCTAATTTTATATTAAGCAGGAGAGAGAGAGAGAGAGAGAAGATGAGAGAGAGAGAGAGAGAGAGAGAGAGAGGAGAGCAGAGAAGAGAGGAGAGAGAGAGAGAGAGAGAGAGAGAGAGAGGGGAGGGGAGGGGGGGAGAGCGGGAAGAAAGAGAGAGAGAGAAAGAGAGAAGAGAGAATAGAGAGTCAGAAAAAAAGAGAGACAGAAAGAAAAAGAGAGAAAGGGCAGAAAAAGCAAAAAGAAAATAGAAAGAGAAAAAAAAAAGGAAAAAAAAAAAAAAACGACATGGAAACTTCAAGACAGAAAGCCCATACCACATACAAACCAAAAAACAAAAACAACAACAACAACCAAATAATAACCAAATCAAAACATCCGCATCGTACACTAAATAACCCACGGACCTGAAGCCAGCGAAGTCCCCCCCCCCCCACCCATCCCCACCCCCGCGTCCGAATCCTCGACGGCGGTGCGAAATTAAGCCCCGGGGGATGAATACGAACGCGGCGAGACGAACGCTGCAGGGGCGTACGTGTCGAGATGATCCGATCGTGACGGTGATGATGATGATTGAGGTGAGGGTGGAGTGGAGGGGTGGTGGTGGTCGGTGGTAGAAGTGGCGGAGGTGGATGGTGTGATGATGGAGGTGCGGGGTTGGTGGAAGTGGCTGGTGGTGGAGGGGGGGGGGAGGAGGAGGAGATGGTGGGTAGTAGAAGTGGCGGAGGTGGAAGAGGTGGTGGTGGAGGGGGGGAGGAGGAGGAGATTGGTGTGGTGGAGGTGGTGGTAGAAGTGGGCGGAGGTGGAGGAGGTGGTGGTGAGAATGGTGGTGGTGCGAGGTGGTGGTGGTGGTGGAGGGAGGAGGAGGAGGAGGAGATGGTGGTGGTGGAGGTGGTGGTAGAAGTGGGGAGGTGGAGGGAGGTTGATGGTGGACGGGGGGGGAGGGAGGAAGGTGGTGGTTGGTGGGGTGGTGGAGGAGAGGAGGCTGGTGGTGGTGGAGGTGTTTAGAAGTGGCGGAGGTGGAGGAGGTGGTGGTGAGGGGGGGGAGGAGGGGGGGAGGAGGAGGCAGATGGTGGTGGTGGAGGTGGTGGTTAGAAGTGGCGGAGGGTGGAGGTGGAGGGGTGGTGGAGGGGGGGGAGGAGGAGATGGTGGTGGTGAGGTGGTGGTAGAAGTGGCGGAGGTGGAGGAGGATGGTGGTGTTGTGGGGGGGGGGGGTAGGAGGAGGAGGAGGAGGAGGAGATGGGTGGTGGTGAGGGTGGTAGAAGTGGAGGTGGTGGTGGAGGGAGGAGGAGGAGGAGGAGATGTGGGTGGTGTTGGGGTTTGGTTAGAGGTGGCGGAGGTGGCGCTGGAGGTCGGAGGAGGAGGTGGTGGGAGGGGTGGAGGGGGGAGGAGGAGGAGGAGGAGGATGAGGAGGAGGAGGAGGAGGAAGGAGGAGGAGGAGGTGGTGGTGACGATGATATGATGACGGACGACGATAATGCTAATGCTAATTGCTGATGCTGATGCTGATGATGAAGGTGATGCGACGGTAAACCGGAAGCGGGAGATGAATCAATAAAGCAGCGATGCCCCACTATCGGGGTCTCGGCTGAATGGCCAAGATAAACGATTCGGAGGAGAGGGTTAAGGAAGAGAGGAGGAGGAAGAGGAGAAGAAGGAAAATGGGGGAGGTGTGGAGGGGCGATGAGGGAGGAGGGAGGAGAATTGATTGCATGATGTGATGATGATTGATGATGATGATGATGATGATGATGATGATGGAGGAGGAGGGGAGAAGGAGGAGGTAAGAGTAGAGCAGCAGGAGAAGATAGCAAAAAAAAGGGGGGGAAGGGAAAAAAAAGAAATATAAAAGGCAGACTAAGGAAAAAAAATGGTGCAGCACGGAAATTTAACAAGATAAATACAATATGAATATGATCCTTACGAAATCAACCCAAACTGCCACATTCACCCCCCCCCCCTTAAAAAACTTCCCCTAAAGCAAAAACAAACAAACACACGCAACCCGAGGCGTCGACCCCTCCTGCAGCTCAGGCATTATGCAAGACGCCGGAGTTGTCCTGAACGTGAGGTCCCACTCCAGATGGCCCGAGTGTCTCGAGACGTCGAGGGTGACTTGTCTGCGGCCGCTCCTGGGCTGACGCTTATATTTTCTTACGCCTGGCCACGCCCACTGTGAGGTATGTGGCGTGGATAGGCACGCACTCGCCTGTTTGTACATGTGTACGTGTTTATGCGTACGTATATAGTATATGGACAGAGAAACAATACATATGCACACACACACACACACAAAACATACACACACACACACACACATAGTATACATGTTATACATTTATAGTTATATATATGGGTATATGTATAAATGTAAAATATGTATATATATGCCATAAATAAATTACAATACACGCAGGCCCAAAAATACATACACCCACGCACATAATATATATATATATATATATATAATATATAATATATATATAATATATATATAAATTATATATATATATTCTATTTATATACATAATACATACATACATACCATAATACATAATTAAATACAATACATAAATACCATATACATACCACAATACACACACATTAACACATACAGAAACCCCGTAGAAAGTGCACGGCGTGCGCACAGATGCGTTAAAGCCCATGGGCAGCACAGCCAAAGACGCGACACATTACCTTTGCCGGACCAGCAGTGGCAGCAGCAGCAGGTCAACCACTCACCTGCGACAGAGAGAGAAAACGGTAAGAAAAAATAAAGACACATTAGACGCGACTCGAGCACCTGGGGAAGGGGGGAAGGGGGGAAGGAAGGGGGAGGGGAGAAGGGGGGAAGGGGGGGGGAAAGAGTGGGGAGGAGGAAAAAAGAGATGGGACACCATGCGAGGAGGAGGGAGAGGGACGAAAGGGAGGGGGAAGCGAGGAGGGGAAACAGGGAAAGGGAGAGGAAAAGGAGGTAAAGGGAAGAGGAAAAGATGAAAGAAAAACGGATCAGGGAAAGACACGTGCACGTACGCGTGGGCGAACTGCAACAAAACCTACAATACTTCAACACCGTGAACCTGCATCATGCAAAGGCGACGCACAGACAATATGCAAATCCAGCCAAGCCTTCTATCTGAAATTCGCACAATGAAAGTTCCCCCCCCCCTCCCCGCCCCTGCAAAGCCCACGGTCTGCGCCGGGCCTCGCCATTGTCTGCCGCTGTGCAAGAGGAGTGCTTGCGACTGCACACAGAAGCACGCGTGTCCGAGCGAGAATACCCGCCGAGACCTGCTTGATGCATGCAAAGGCTCTGCCTCCGCGCCGTGTTCTTGTATACATACACCGGGCGCGAGATATGGCCTTCCGTCGCTGTGAATAATTACGGCGACTCCGCTGTGCTTGTCCGCTGGCGCAGTTTGCTCCGTCGGGGCGGATGGGGCAAGCGCGGAGTAGACGGGACGGGGCTCCCTGCCCAATCTCCTCGGCTCAGTCTCGTCTCTATTCTTTTCTTGCTTCCTTTATCTTCCTCCCCGCTATCTCTTTCTTTGTCTCTTTGTCTCTGTCTTGTCCCACCCTTCCCTAATTCACCATTCCCTATCTCTGTCTCTTGTCTGTATTGTCTCTCTCTCTCTCTCTCTCTTCTCTCTTCTCTCTCTCTCTCTCTCTCTCTCTCTCTCTTCTCTCTCATCTCTCATCTCTCTCTCTCTCTCTCTCTCTCTCTCTTTCTCTCTCTCTTCCTCCTACCCAATCCTCCTCCATCTCTTCCCCTCAACCCCTTCCATTTAGTATTTCCGCTCAGTTTCCGCATTCCAACGCCACTGCAACCGTTAAAGAGATTGCCAACGGAACAGAAAATACAAGATAGAACTCGCTGTAACGGATTACGGGACAGAGACAAAAAAAAGTCGGAATGAAAATCCCCCCTCCCCCTCCCCTCCCCTTCCCCTCTCCCCCTCCCCTCCTCTCCCCCTATCGAGTTGAACCGTTTTACACAGTGAGCCGTTACATGCNAAAAGAGAAGAGAAGAGAAGAGAGAAGAGAAAATACGAGAAAAAGAGAAGAGAAGAGAAGAGAAGAGAAGAGAAGAGAAGAGAAGAGAAGAGAAGAGAAGAGAAGAAAAGAGAAGGAAGGCAGGGGAAGGGAGGGAGATCACAGGGGAGGGGAGAGGTTGAGGGAGAAAGAGAGAGAGAAAAAA